AATTTTCATTTTGGACGCGAGTACTAACACTTGATTTCATGTCAAAAGGTACAAAAGCTGAAACATTTTAATAAAACACTGATTTGATGCTATTAAAAGTTAATATTTGAATCGAAACGTTTAAAATTATAAACGGTTCAAAAGAAATTTAAACATTTAGTAATTTTAACAGTTATATGATAGAAAGTTATATTTATAAATTTTTAACAAATAAAATTAAATCTTAACAAAATGTGCTGAAAAGAGTAACGAGAATTTTAAAAACAAAATCTTTTTTTTAATCGATTTTTAGGAAGAAACAAAACTAAAATGATTCAGATAGATGTATAGGACTTGTTAAACGAAGTGATAGTGTAATGAACCATCAAGTAATTAACAAAAAATTGCTGTTTTATGCTCTACACCCGTTTTCTTTTCTGATACAAGACCAAGCTGTCTTGTTCTTCAATTCCCCATGAAAATAATAGAGGTACTTTTCATGTTTCAGGATTTTTTTTCTCCAAATTTTGAATTATGAAAAAATCTCTCCATCTTGATTATTAAAAATACTATATTGACAACACGTGGTGGTATAATCTTTAAGGGTTGCTAAAGAGATGTTTCATTCGCCAAATGTTTGGCGATGGACATTTGTTAAAATTCAAGAGTCCCCACTTCAAGAATCTATTCATAACAATACATTTTCCCCTTTGACACACTGATGGATCATATCTATTGTTAAGACCCTCTTCCCCACCTTCAGGCTGGAAAATCCTAGGATGGACAGAGCACAGCCCAATCCTTCTTATGATACCTAAACAATTTTACACCCCTCGCAACCCCCGGAAGTTTAGGTTCAATCGCGCCTTCGCTTCTCCATTTCTTTTCTCACAGGATAAATCCACCCTCTTCAACGCGTTAATTGGACTTTTAACCTTCACTTTAAACCCTCGCTGACCACAAACTTCTCTGCCTTTAAAATCCTCCCTCACTTCCTCTAACATTCCTTCAAATTCCAAGCCTTGCACCTGCTCCTTTTTAAGTCTTTGGTCTTGAGAAAAGGGTGATTTCTTATCTTGACCCCCTACCTTCTCCCCACGCTCGGGATTCATTAAAATACATGGTGGATCTTTGTCCTCACCCCCACTTGACTTTCTCTCCAACACCTCGAGACCCCCCGGAGAGATTCGCACTTCTCTCCTGTCCGAATTCTCGCAATCAGGGTCAGAGTCGTTAGCCTCAATCCCCTTGTTCCCGCTTAATTTAGGAACACTGTATATTATTTTTGAGAAACAAGACTTCTCCTCAACCACCTCGATTCTACGCAAATTCGATTCGTCTTTCTTCACCCTCTTTTCGTAACCAACGCGTTCCACGGAATCTTGCTTAGCCTGATCTTTCTTCTGATCTAACCTAAATCTATTAATTTTCGGACACCCCCTCCTTAAGTGTCCTACCTCTCCACAGTTATAACATTTCGGGGATCATTCTCCTGAGCTAGTACTATTTTTTCTTAGCGATTCACGCGGTAACTTACTCTTTCTATTAACATTTGGACCACTCCATTCAGGAAATCGTCTAACCACACCCTTCACATTCACCTCCTTTCCTTCAAATCCAGAATCAAATTTTCGGAACTCCGGCCTCTCCGCTGATTCCGCGGCTCCTAAACATCCCACCGATTCATTTAAATTGAGAAAGGGTTTAAAATCCTGGGTTTTACTTTCCTCATCCTGGTCCCTCATTAAAATTTCTGTTAACCGCTCAATCCCTAGTATAATACATCTTATCCACTCATGATCATTTTCCCGTTCTCGTTTTAACTATTCCAGTTCACGTATCCTTCTATGCAACTCCCGTTTCCTACCTTCTCTTAATTCTCGTTCCTGCTCTTTTGTCCTCTTCATTTTATCCACGCGTTCCCTATCTTCTTTTAATTTTTGTTGCTTACGACGTCCCCTATCTTCTTTTAATTTTTGTTTCTCACTTTCCCTATCTTCCGTTAATTTTCTTGTTCCCCGTTTCCTATCGTCTATTAATTTTTGTAATTCCTTCATTCTAACCTCATGCTGCCGTTCCCGCTCCTTTCGTTCCCGTTCCTGTTTCCGTTCCCGCACCTCTCGTTCCCGTTCCCGCTCCTCTTTAATCCCACTCAAAACCTCTTTAGTACGTTGCTCGTCGTAATTTGAACTCCCGGTGATCAATGCTCTTATCTTAGCACCCGTGGCGTTCTCGGGAATAGTTATCCCAAACCGCTCCTTAACTAGAACTAGCAGGTCTTCCCTTCTTGTTTTTAGAAGAAAACTCATACTGACGGTATTAATAAAATGTCTTAACCACAAAAATAACTATTGCTATTTAAAAATGAAATTTAAACAAAGCGAAAACTTAGTGACCCATTCTATTCCGATCCCCTAGTCATACATTCAGATCTCCTATACTCATACTCCTGCCTTCTATTATGAAATTTAACACCTCACACGTAATCAAAACATATACAACACAATTTGGATCATGCAATACTCAAAACATGCAATATTCAAACATTATTCCTTAATACACATAAATATCAATTACTCTTTTCAATATTCATTGTAAAATAATAAAAAAATCGTACCCTTTTGGTACGCCTAGAATATATACCTTTACTTTCCCCAAAATTAAAACTCTTAAATTCCCTAGATTTAGAGACATAATAATTAATTATTTCATAATTTGAACAAAAGCAAACACCTTCCTTGACCTTTTTTTCCGGTCCAAAATTATTTTAACAGAATGTATTATAAATAATAATCACTACTAGATAATAATAAACCAAGAACCTTGTTTACTCAGCTCGCTATTGACATGTAAAAATTCAATCTTTAAATAATCCTACACTTTTTTACAACTTATTGAATCAAAACTCTTCTTCTTTCCTGTATATACTCTTAATAAAGCTTGAAAAAAATTACACTCTTAACAAACCAACACACTAAGTTACTTAAAAAAAACATCAAATCATTACTTATTATACTTATCAATAATAATCATACTCATTAATCACACAAACAATACTATAGCTTACTGGCCAATCCCTTAAGCTCAGATAAAATAAAACATCAGGTTCACTTTAAACCAAAACAAAGTAACTTATCCCCTTAACTAACTACCCTTTTTGTTAAACTTCTACCCAGAAATGTGAGCGTGTAATTTATCTTTTCATGCATGGGATAAAGCTTACCTCCCTTTATCTTTTCAATTGTCCTATGTCCTCTTTGGCAGAGAGTCGACGTCGAAACCACGCTCTATTCTCTATGGTCACAGGTCACGGGGGGTAGCGCTGCCTTCCTATCGCCTCCGGCGATAATAGTCCCTTTCCAGTACCGTCTCTTCAGTTCTGCACCCGTCGATATGGTAGTTCAATATATTCCTTCAGGCCACACTCTAAGCATTTCCGATGATAGTAGGCATCCTTCCATCAAGACTAACTCCATCAGGCAACATTCTGTACTGGGCATTTCTCATAGTGGGCATCGGCGATGATTCTTTTAACTCGCTTGGCGGTCCTCCTTCCATCCTGGCGAGGATCCTGTCGCGCTCCGACAATTTGTGAGACATTTCTCTTTCGGTTCGTTTTAATGAAATCCTCAATAAGGATGACAAAGGATTATTTCAAGTATAAGCATTTATTCCGTCATCTCTGGATTAATTATGAGCAAAAAGTAAAATATAAGTATATACATAATCTACATGGCATTAAAGTCCGGAGCTCTCCTGTTCCCTTCCAGTTCATACCTTCGCTCTCCTAGTACAGCTAATACTCAACTCTTCTACGTTCAAACTAGTACTGATCTAAAAATCCTCTCTCTCACCAGAAAAAGTCCTTAGCGCCATCCCCAATGTAGGGGGACGACACTTCCCGTGTCCCTTACCCTCTGACCCTCTGGTCAGGGGTCAATCAAATGCATGGGAGAGGAATCAGGATCCTGACAAACTGTTTTTTTTTTTCAATATTGCTTGATTCGTTACAATACTAATATTGTTCTTTAAAAATGGTAATTAAATTATAATTTGGTACTAGACACTTTTGGTTCTATGGTAATTAATGCAATTTTTTTAACGATATCAATTATACTAATAAAGGAAAAATAAATTTAATTGGTACATATTAAGCATTAATTCTGGGCAGTTTTTAAAATCGATAATGTGGAAAGAGGTGTGTTTAACTGGTCTTCAACAAGGCAAGTCGTGACTTAATCGTGGCAAGTTTTAACCATCAAGAGTTGACTTTGAGCAATATCATTGTTTCTAGAGATACTGATTGCAATTAATTTTATTTTGATGGAATGAACTACTATAATTTTTTTCGTCTCATCTAACAACGTTAAGTCATCGACAAATTTTTTTGATTAAATAAAATAAATCATAATTCTTTTAGCTTTATTAATATTGTTGGTATAGATCTTTTAGTTTCGTGCTTGACTTCGTAGTGTTTTCAGCACTACTTTATTGATGGTACATACACTTTTCTCTTCCCGTACTGAGTCAGCTTAGTATAAATAAAATTGCATACAAAATATATTTTATTTAACATACACTATACTCTCAATATCTCATAGTCGAGCTGTCGCTATAGCGAGTTTTCGAGATAAGAAATTCAGAGCTAAATATGTTCTAAAGTGTTAGAAAATACATTTTAAAATAGAACTTTAAAAAGTAAAGTCATAAAACAAGAATAATTATGTATGATACTTGACTACACAGCTATGATAAATTTATTTTTAAAAGTTAGACAAAACGAAATGTGCCTTAAATAGAAAAGAATTGTGAAACAATGAACTAAAATTATGATTTTGAAGTAAAAAGATTTTTTATTTCGAAATATAATCAGTATAGCAAAGTTTTGAGAAAAAAAATCTTCGACATAGGAATTAAAATTAACATTAGATCGATATGCAATGACATAAAACGGTTTTTGAGACATAGTTTGAAATATCGAGGCTGTGTTTATTAATTAATAACTTTTTTTTTAATTCAAGATTACCGATGCAGGTATAGGCTGTTTTCAAAACAAAGATTGTCATAAAGGTGAATGCTGCAGAATTGCATTTGGATTTTACGCAGGCCCTCAAATCAAGAGTTGCAGGGAACTTGCAGCAGCAGCAGGTAAACACGATTCTCTCTCAAATAGTTCTTGCTCATACACGAAATTTTCAGTATCAGTTCTGGTGAAATGTGCATGCGTCTGTGAAGAAATATCAAACTTAAGTAAAGGAAAATTAAGGATTTTTCGAAAAATGGAAAATTATAAATGCTAACGTTGTGAAATATCATCTTAAATTTGACAGCAAAATAAAACAAACATCTATAATGGATGAAGACGATTTCGTTAAAGCTGTGGCATACGTTTCAGGATCCTTTGTTATAGAAGTAGAAGATTACAAATTTTGATGTGAAAAAAGAATGTATATTAAAAAGAATGTGAAAAAAGAATGTATATTATTATTTAGATTCTTACCAGAAGATATAAAAAAATGTTTCTAAACAGTAGAGAGATATTATGAATATATTTTAACATAATAACTTTATTTTACATAATTTAGAACATAAATTTAAAGTGAAATTTCAAAGTAATACTGTCTTGATATAAATAAATCACGATTATATTTTCATAACAGCAATTCTATAATAAAAATATTTGTATTTTTTCGGCTCAGCCAAATTCATAACTGTCAGAAGTTAAAATAAATATTAAATTTATTCTAATAACAATATTTCAAAACTGCAAGTACTAATTGACATTTCTGGACTAGAGAAAGGTTTCTTGCTTTAAAGAGATGATTTGTGTCCATTGTAAATGTTGGCTTTGATTTTGTAACCGGAGCTGAAATTATATTCCATTACGTTACTGTTTCTAACTTACGGGTTTAGGCAATTTTTTTTTCACTTACGTAAGTTTGATATTTAATTAAACGTATACATTAGTTTCTTCGATAATTGAGTTTCCTTTTCGCTATAAATACTTATTTTAGATGGTATTGTTTTTTTTAATGAAACTCGGTTATCTTATATATATCAAAACATGCCTTATACCCAACACTACCTGTGATCATGATACACTTACCAATATACATAAGGAGCCACTCTGACAACTCCTATCACTCTAGGTATAGGGTTTAATGCATACGTTTTTATCAGGAGAACACTAGAATGACTAAATAAGCACTTAAATTGGACAAAGTCATGAAAATAACAAATAATCAACAATTTTTCAGTTTCGAAAAAACAAGGCAAAAAAAACCGAGGGGGCCTTTTTCTCTCTTACAGAAAACGAATTAGAAAAATGAAAAAAGGCACGTGCGTGTAAAGAGATGCTGCTGACGCTGATCGAATTTTTTATTAAAGAAACTTTTTTTCCCTCATTTTTTATTGGATGAAAAATATATGGATGAATAAAGACATTCAATTGGTGTTTTTTTAAAGATAATTAAAGAATGTAACTGGATAGAAAATGATTTTCCTAAAATATTTTTTCTGCACAATCGCTCCTTTTTTTGTAAAATAGTTCTTAATTATAGGTGACATTTGTGCAACTGATGAATTCACAGAGGACAATATCTCTAGCAATAGATATTGTCCCTGCCGTGAGGGATTAAAATGTGAACCCACTTCCACTCCTTCTTTCCGCGTAAGTACATTATTTCTATGTTTATATATATCACAGCAGGAGCCATTGCAACAGCAGGAGATAAAGTTATACTAACATTTACTTGTAAATTATTTATATATACTATTTCATCAGTATTTTAGAGTGATGCTGAACTCTCTTCCCCCTGTTTATTTATTCTCTGTTGTTATTAAGTTATAGATTTTGATTATTATTTAATAAGAAATTGCAAAAAAACAAACAAAAGCGTACATGATATTATAAAGTGATCGCTCCTTATTATGTATATTTTAATGCCAACGACATTCTTTTTCTATACTTATAACGCATTTTCGTATTCTTCTTTTTGTCGAAAAGCATTAAAATGTAATGTATGTTTTCCCTGTAAATATGCATTTTAATCAAGATTTTAAAAAAAAGGTTAAGAAAAAAGGTACACAGTTGGATTTGTAAATGTTTAATGTAAGTCCTAATTTACTGTACAAAATTAAAGTGAGCTTTTTTTTCAATCACTTCATGTTTTCAATCACGCGGCATCCTTAAAGAATAAAATTCTAAACATTTTATTCAATTAAAATTAATCAAATAATAAAAAGATTACCGTAGACTACATTAATTCAATTAAAATATCAAAAGAAAACGATAAAAAAAATTAATGCATCTAATGGTTAAGATTTGCGCGTCTTATTAGAACCTCTTGGTCGAGTGTTACCATTTTACCATGCATTGAAAAAACACGTGATGCCCGCTTTTATGCTCTAACATTAGAACGGAAACAAAATATTTCCTTGTGGTTTAAACTAAAGTTAATATTTTGTAAGTATATAATTATACAATTTTGATTTACATCGTACGTTTCTTACAGGATAGGACAGGAATTTGCCAGCCATCAGAGGAAAAGTAATACCTGCCTCAGTGAATTTAAAATAAGAGGTATAAAGCAAGCGTTTGTAATCACACAAAAATAATGCATTTTATAACATTTTATTGTAGAAGATTGTAACATCAATCTGACAAAACGATTGGAATTGCTTGCCAAATTATCGACCAAAAAATATTCTTGATCAATTAATAAAGATGATTGATATTTGATAAGCTGATATCTGATAAGCTATTTGATATTTGATAAGCTATTTGATATTTGATTAGCTGAGTTCAATTTACAAATTTAATCTGACAAGAGGGACTCACATTTCTCAAAAAAAAAGAAGACCATCTTAGTCACTACCCTTAGAAAAATTTGCTAGGTTCTCATAAAAATACCATAGAATATTCCTATGTGATCTTGTCTATAGTAAAATTTTGCCATACGCGTATGGTAAATTTTTGCATGATAAAAGTGTATTTATTGTATGTCCCCGACCCGCCCATCTATGGGCAAACGGGAGAGGCATAAAAAATACAAAATACAAAATTTACATCAAGTGGATGGATGGCAACAGGCCATCAGATACAAAATTTACAATACACAAGAAAGATAAAGAACAATGCATAGCGATAAAGTAAGTAAAAACTGGTTGTGTTTTGAGCAAGAGACAGCCGAATCAAAAGATCCTTATATTAGGTCTACAGACCCTTATTATGGCCGTGCCTCGCTGCTATAAGAAGCACTCAAAACATTCACAAGAAATAAAACGCTGGCGATACACAGCCAAAAGGGGAAAGTTAAAAATATATAACAACGACAAGTTAAAAGAGCAATAACAAGCCAAAAGGGGTACAAAGTGATCAAGATAGTTAAAACCATGAATCAATAGGGATTCATGAAAATAAAACCAACCAGTGGTAATACAAAAAAGTTACATGCGTTAAAAAAGATTTAAAATTTAAAAGTTAAAACCAGCAACAAGTCAGGGCCGGAGAGGTATACAAGTCAAGACTAGCAAGAAGTTAAAACTCAAGAGGAGCACAAAGTAAAAGCAAGCGTGCCCGGATGCCGGCCGATGGCTCTACTGGGGTAACGAATGAAGATCTGGAGAGGGGGGCCGGTGAGACTAGACCTGATTAATTTTTAGTAGATCTTCTAGTGTGACCCTGATGATTTCCTTGACGATATTTTTGCAGTCATTACTTGAGAAGATCTGATGCTCAGTTTTATTAGTAAATCCCCTCGGAGTGACCGGAAGTGTGCACAATCAAAAAGAAGGTGGTGAATGGTTTGTTCTTCCGTGCAATATTGACAGATACCACTTTTGTTGAAAAACCTTTTTTGATACACTCCGAACACTCCGTGGCCAGTAATGAATTGATTTAGGTAAAAGTTTGTAAGTAACCTTTTAGTTGATGGTGTTTTAATGAGATCATAGGTTTGCCTCCCTTTTGGACAGTTCCTCCACTCCTCTGCCCATTTAATAAGGATATTATCCCTCAGTTTACTCTTAACTTGTTTTGGGGTCCTCAGCCCTTGGAGTTCCACCGTGTCTAACCCAATGGCCATCTAGGCTGCTTCGTCATTCTTCTTCGTTGCCCTGGATGCCCACATGCGCCTTAACCCAGTTTAATTTTATATTTTGTCTCCAGAGCAGATTTGTCGTTTCAATAATGTCTGATGTGGGCTGTGGGTCAGCCAGGGCGAAGATTGTATAAGGGAGAAGATGGGAAACTCGCGAAAGTCGTAAGAAAATCTGGCACAATGCCAGCGATTCGTGTACGGCGGAGAAGTTTGTTTCCAGGAGCGCAGCGCATGCGCAATATCATCCTTAGTTTTGGAAGGAGAGTTTGGAAAGAGAAGCACATGAGAAATCAATCAATGGCGGGCATTAATTTGACAATTATCCCTAACAAGTAAGTGCGCTTTGTATAACCTATCTTCTGTTGATTTTTTTTCCTTGTTTTCAGTTTTGATAAAGATTGTAATCCTCTTTTCTTCTTTCAATATTTTTCTGTGATTCTTCTGTGAGCAAAGCAAAGAAT